CCCATCTTCATCCTTCCAAGCAGCTACCTATCAATGCGTACAAAAAGAATCATAAAGGAACAAATGATGAAAACAGTGAATGAGAGCAAATCAGAGAGTGGCAAACAGTCATGCAAGTATCTATCAGACCTTTCCGCCCAAAACATCTCTTGCCTCAAGCAATATGGGTTTATGGCCAGCATCTGCCAGATACTTCGCCGTTGATAGACCAGCCAATCCTGCAAAAGTGACATAACAAATTAATAAAGCTAACAGCCAATTAGAGTTTCCCTCGAAATTCCCCAACTTACAAAGGAAAATAACATCTGTGAAAACATTAATCACGAATTCCGTCAGACCTGCACCAGCAATCACGACCTGCAACGGTTTACTGGGGCGTTCGCTGTTTCTAAAAAACGAAGAGAGCTGCCCAGCTTCCAAATAGTTTATTGTGCTTTCTAGTGGAGGTCTTGGAAAATCCTTGCAGGCAACCTGCAGAAAAGGCAATCAATTATGATTTCACAAGAAACACAGTGAAAGCATCGAAAAAGTGAAAAACAAAAAGATGAACCTGCAAGGCAGCATGTCTACGGTGTGATCTCCTTCCTTTATTCCTTAAGACAAGATTTTTCACGGCAAAGCTCGAATGGTGAGTACTCGCAAAACATATCTGAGGATGTTGTCCCACAAAAGGTCTTGCTTGGCTAGCTCCAGTAATGTTCATTGATGATAGGCAGCCAGTGTCCATGATGAAGCAACTCTTGATGAAGTGTGGTCAGCTCCGCTTCAACCAATAGGCACAGGCAGACTACTGCAAATTCAAGAGGAGCCATTAGACCCACAGTTCATGAAGTCCTTCAGAGTATCGTGAGTAAACTGATCCAGGTTGCTAAACAGTAAATACTAATGAAGTCACTCTATGCTGAGAACAATTGATGGATTAATTAACGAGGCAGAAAAAAAAATAGCATGATCCGGACCAAGTTCCAGATAACTTTGTAGCACCACCACCTCAGATTAAACAAGCAGCATCGCCCCTCTAGGTTCTACACTGTACACTCTACACTATCTCGTCCAGTCCCTACGCCACAGTTTCTATCAGACCACTGCGCCCAACAATCGCAGCCTGCTCCATGTCAGTCCTAGACCAATTACAAATTCCCCGATGCCTTCAAAGCCTAAGAGCCCTAAGAAATTCCCCATTTCCACAGCCTGTTACTAAATGAGAAGTGTTAGTGGGTCGCAAGGCGCTAGACGCCCCATCCCCCATACGGAACCGGATCGCGCGCTGGCCGCGTGATTAAACAGAAACGCAGTGTGAACGGACTCCGGTTGGCGAGAGAGAGAGACGGAGGGGGCTACTCACCGGAGGAGAGGAGAGGAGAGGAGAGGAATGGGAGCCGGCGGACTTGGCGAGGCGGAGGCAGTGTCGTGGAGGCGGGGGAGCCCAGTTGCGAGGAATTGGGTGTGTACGTGGGCGATGATAAGGGGGAGAGGGAGGCGACCTCCGCATTTGATTGGGGCGGTGGAAAGGGACAAGCGCACGACGAGACGAGACGAGACCGGGGTGAGGAGGATGCGGTGGTGGTCTGGTGGAGGATGCCTGCCTTTTGGCGCCTGGTGCGCTCTACGTTTCCGTGGTATATACCGTTACGGCGCTACCATCCGATAATATAAAAAGGAAGCCTAGTGGGCCTATAACATCACACCGACTTATGGGCCTGGACAGCACCACAAAAGTGAACTCAGCAAAGAAGCCCAGCCCTATTGTCTTATCATTAGGCCAGTCTCAGGAAAAGTTTCATTACGTTGGCATTGTTCGGCTGGCTGGCCAGCCCACTCACGAAATCACTGTTTACGTGCACAATGTTTTCAGACAGAACATTATTTTTCTCTCACAACAATCAGCCGGAACAATATTTTTGCTTATTTTTCAGTCCTGCCGAACAAGCCCGTTATTTTCAAGACGGCCACGTCATGTAGAATAGAATAAAATATGGATGAAAAAACACATTCTCAATGGTGAGTTTCATTCTATAGTTTTATAGACATTTAATTCCATGACTCATAGAGAGTTGGTATTCGTGATAACAGAGTTTCATCCCCATAAAACTCACTTCTTCTCTCTTATTAAAAAACTTGCCACATCATCAAAAAATGTTTATGTGGCAGCTCATTAAATGCAAATGAAACTCTGATAAAACTCCCACTGAGACTGGTCTTAGGGATGACCTTCTCGACTATTGCGTAGGTTCAATTTACCTCGTTCAATTAAAGAGCCAAATATTTAAGGCTCTTGCACCAAATATTCAAGGTTCTTGCAACTTTTCAAACCGTCTGATTTACTCTCTGAACGGTTTCAGCTGACGTAGTGCCATATCAGCCACGGGGAAATCGATTAAACTCTATCAAAAAAATGTAGAATTTTTTTCAAAACATTATCCAAATAATTTTCTAAAAATGTGCATTTAAAATACTAAAATATGGTTTAGACTTAAAATCCAAAGATTTGTTTTTACTCAGAAAAATATGAAAACTAGTTTTTTTTCTAAAATCATGCTCTGTGTTTTTCTTTCTTGCTTAGAATTATCTGAATCATCTATGGTCTCCTAAAATCTGAAACTATGCCAAATATGAGAAAGAGGATGTAGGCCAAGAAAAATCCTTGCAGACCAAAGCGTGAATCACCGCTAGCCATGCAAACTCAAATAATGTTTTCTTGGCAACAATGTCTTGCTTAATCATCGAGACTAGCACGAGAAAATTCCAAATAAAAATATAATCTAAGTTATGATTTCATATTAACAATATGTATCATGAGGTTTAAACTTTGTAACAGCAATGCCTTCTTCGAGGGACATAATGGCGATAACGTGCGCAGGCTCACTGGGCCATGAGCAGCAACCGGCGTGCAACTTCTCAACCTCTCGAACCGACGTCTCCAACTTGGCCAGCAACATCCAGATCAACATGATTGCTTCCTCGTTCGTTGTCATTGTCATAGGTTTATGCACGCACCCGGAGCACATGGTTGAGCAGGTTCATAGTTTGGATGAGCTCGGGATGCCGAACTTCATGCGTTATTTTCTGAGTCAAAACAATTTTTCTAAGGTCAAATCAGATTTTAGTATTTTTGAACCCATATTTATTTCGAAAAATATTGGTATGATTTTTTGAAAACAAAACTCTTCAAAACAAACCGTTGTTGCTTTACTTCACAACCAGAAGAATCCGTGTGAGCTTTTGTTTGGAAGGAATGGAAATCGATAGCTTCGGAGCAGATGAAATGAAACTAGTTGCTTGTCGCGAGAGGACGAGATTGCCTATTTACATGGTGACATAGTAAACCTGTCACGAACGACGGACATTCCAAATTTAAAATTTTGTACAAACCCCTCTTGGAAATTCCTAGCAATTACCTCCCTGTTCTCTAGTGTCTCTCATACCTAGAAGCCAGCTTGCCCCCTCTGTACCTGCAATAGTAAGGCCAGTCAACGCTTTGTTATTCTCTCTACTTGTGTTGAAAAAGGATTTCGTTGTCAGATTTGATAATAATTATTCAAAATTGACTAATAAGGCTCAAAACGTTTTTTCAGAAAGTACTCTCTAATCACAATTAATTTTTGATTTCGCGCATACATTTAGCATTAAATATAGATAATATAAGTTTGATGTGACGAGGAATCTTCTTTTTGCATAGTGACAAAGTTGAGAGCAACTAAACAAGGCCCTATGTACAAAGTTGGGAGCAACTAAACAAAGTTCAATCCAGGAGATTGTCTTCCAAGGACCTTTCAATATAATCTCAACTCTAACCCTAACAAAGAAGCCCTATGAAGTGAGCCGCTAACCCAAGCAAAGCCCTAGTCAACTCGAAGTCAATTCGATCAGCTCACTCTAATCAAGGCTCGAGAGTAAGCCCGAAAAGGATTTAGGAGATTGTCTAAAATTTCCAAGGACCTTTCAATTAAATATCTAATTACTCTAACAACCCAACGAATCTTTTAAGCCTAAAAAGCCATGATTTAACAAAGTGAGAAACATGTGTTAATGATAGATTAATTAGGCTAAAAAAGTCTCGAAATTAGCCTCCATCTCGTAAAGTCAATTAATTTATCATTTCACTCTACCTCTAAATATTTGACATGACATAAATTTTAAGAGCGACTAAAGAACAAACACCTCCTTATAAATCTCCCTTAGTACTAATCTCCTCTCCTTGAGGGACAATCATCGTCGGTGCACAATCAAGAAAATCATTTTCAGTGTTTCCTCGGACTGTCCGGCCGCGATTGTTCTGTGGGACTGGTCAACCTAGCGAACTCAACGAGATTCTACCGACCATGAATTTTTAAATGATTTAGTTGTGATAAAACACCATTTAAAATGAAGGGCATCGAAAATAATACCTAGAATTACACTTATAAATGTATTAAAATGGAATAAATTAATCGCGAATCAATTCTATAAACTTAAATCTTTGAAACATATTACAAATGTTATATAAAACATATAACTTATAAAACATATAAGTTAAATCTTTGAGCGCTGGAGCGTGCGCTTGAGTCACCTCGAGTCACCTCCCGCAGCTGGGCACGCCTCTGCACGCTGTTCGCGCTCGCCGCCGCCGCCGCTGCAGCCAAGCCGGTGTGGGCACGCGTGCGGCCGCCGCCGCTTCAACCCCAATCGCCTTGGCCACGTCCTTGGCTGCTCGCCCGTTCCTGGGGAGCGTGGGCATCGTGGCCGCCGCTGCGGCAGCGGAAACGGCGAGGACCCTGCTGCCTCTCTACGTCCACCAGTGGTGCCGAGCCTCCGAGTGCACGAGGTAGAAGACGACACGAGCGATGGCTCCCAGGTGACGGCGCCGGTGCTCCCAGGCTCGGCGTCGGCGCTCCCAGGCTCCACGGCCGACGCACGCTGCGCCGCACAACGCCATGGTCGGAGCTCCCCCCGCGCTGTGCCGCCCCGCCCCGCGCCGTGGCCGGGCTTCGGAGGTTGCGCCGCGCCGCCGTGGCCGGGCTTCAAAACACGCCCGTGGTGTCCTCGTCCAGTGGCCACGGAAGCAGGTTGAGGTCGAACGGGAACGGGAGTGGCGCGCCCTTGCCGCTGGACGCACGTGTTTCGCTTTGCACATTTGGTTCAACCGAGATCGGCATCGGCTTCTCCTCTTGAGCCACCGGCCCACGCTTCGCCGGCGAGCTGCACCCCTCGTCGTCATCGCCGCCGACAGATCCCCCGGCGCCGGTGCCCTTCCGCTTAGCCTGCGGCCGCGCCGGCGCCGCGTCGTCCGCGCTCGACGGCGCGCCGGACCCTCCGGCGCCGTAGTCCAGGTCCAGCGGGGTATTTGGGCTCGGCGTCTTCATGGGCTCCTTCGCAGGCGCGGCGCTAGTCGTCGATGGGCCGGACCCGGCCACTGCGGCGTAGCAGAGCGCCGCCACCACCGGCCACCGCTGCGCCGATGCCGCTGGCATCTCGGCGCACCTTTCCTGCTCGCTGGACCGCGGCGCGCCGGATCCCTTGGCAGGGGCGGCGGCGGCATGGCCCTGCTCCGGCAGCTTCTTGGACGTCTCGCCACGCGACCCCGATCTCTTAGCCTTTGGCCACCGCTCTGGCACCCCCGCCGCCACAGTCCCGGCCAACGAGAAAGAGGCCTCACCCGACTGCATCGAGACCCGCTCCGGCCGCCTCCGGAGCGGTAGCCCCGCCGCCACAGTCCCGGCCGAAGAGGCTTCACCCGACGGCGGCATCACCTTCGCCGCCGCCACAGTCGCGGGCGGCGAAGAGGAGGCCTCACCCGGCTGCATCGGGACCCACTCCGGCCACCTCCGGAGCTTCCTGTACCGGAGGTTGATGAGAATCTGCGCAGCGCGAACCTGCTCCGGATCCTCCTTTTCCACCGCCGCCATGCAGAACCGACACCAGCGACTGCACCAACCAACAAGCGCACGCCTCCCCTACCCTAAGCCGGCGGCGGCTCGGTGCTCTCTCGTCTCTGGATATGGAGATGCGTCTCGAGATGTGAGGCTGTTTTCTTGGGCAAGGAGGAAATACGGGATCGGAGAGCTCCATGGCGCGCGCGTCCCTCCCCTTTCTTATATCCCACCCCACCCACGTGCAACCGTCTCCAAATCCGGTTCGTCTCCGATTCCGATCCGCCCCCGCCCCCGTCGGTGAACACAAAATCCCAGACGATTAACCAATAGCGATGCGAACGCGACAGGCAGCATAGGGCTGACGATCGGACATCGGACCCGCTGGAGGAAGAGACGCCGCGCGGGCCGGGACTGTGTGCCGCTCGTGCGATTCACTTCTAGTCTTTTTATTATTCTTTTTATTTATTTAATATATAATAGTATTATTATTAATTGTGTATATAGGTTTATTTATTTATTATTTATTATAGACAGATAGAGATTAGACGCAGCCGGACTCAGGATACAGGGCCATCAATCAATATCTGCACTTGACAAGTCGCTGTCCACGTGTGATTTTCTTCAGATCAGACTTCAATTCAATAATCATATGACAGCAGCTAGGTAATCAAGACACGTCGTACGTGGTTAACATGGATTAGACTGACGCAGCAGGAGTCGATCAGGTTAATTACGGTTACAAAGTAGCCGCGTCGCGCACGATCGGGTCCGGGTCCATCAAGACGGCGGCGGCACCGGCACGTCGCGGTTGTGCGCGCCGAAGATCCGGTTGAGGAACATGGCCAGCCGCACCCCGCCCTGCGCGATCCGCCGCGACACGATCGGGAGCCTCGAGTCGAAGTAGTCGTCTGCAGGCGATTCCAGTCCAGGTGACAAAATGGATTATCTAGTCAGCAGCTAGCTCTTGGCTGTTTGATTCAGAAAGATACACGGTGGTCGTCTGTGTGCCCAGATTAACTAACTTACCGGACAGTGTTTCCCCTTCACGGACGCCGCTGTACGCCCACTTGCACGCCAGGCCTATGCTCTCGGCCGCGTACCTGTTGCATTGCATTACATTACATTACATCAGAAAGCTGGTAATGGCTGTTTATTAGCCACAATCTGAAAGTGTTAACTAAGGAATCCATAGTTTCAGAATGGGTGGTTGTTGCTAACTTGGTTGGGCAAGACGAGAGGTCTTCGCAGTCTGTCCAAGCCGATACATCGTCAGACCAGGTACCCTGCGAAGAACACGTTGTCGAGAATTTAGAGTAATGGCACAATGGCATGTTTCTTTGCTTGCATTGGACGGACGAAGGATTAGTAGATAGTCCCGGCCGGACTTCCGATTCTCTTCACGTCACTTGCCTTGGTGAGGTTGTGCTCGAGTTGCTTGCGGAAGGCGTCCATGTCCTTGCCGTAGAAATCGGCGAGCGCTGTCTGTATGATCTCCCTGTCCCACACCTGAAAACGACCCATCATCAGACAACATTAATTCAACAGTGCGGGATGATTAGACTAATCACACTGATGGAATCGTGTGCAATGCAATGCAATGCAAGCAAGGATCGTGGGAGAGGAGAAGTCGTTAATTACGTGATGGAGGTTGGACTTGTGCCGGAACCACCGCAGCTCTATGGAATTGCCGCCTTGGTCGCTGGTGAATCCCACATGCATCGGCTGCAAGCAAACAACACAGGAAATAATTAGGCCATGGCATTCACTTATATTATGAGCTAAGCATGGCATTGTATGTATTCGTGGTAACTGGCAACAAGTAATTAGGCAGGTTAGGTTACCTGATGAACATCTCCCATGAAGTGTGACAGGAACAGAAGGGCTTCAGTCAGGTTGTCTGCGTTGCAACAAGACAGTGGTACGGTTACAAAACACAGAGATACGAACAGGACATTTGGTTGACACCACCAGCACCATTGCTTGCTTCGCTTACATCTCCGGTCGGCGCTGCCGTGCTTGTAGTGCAGCAGCTGGGATGTGAAGTTGGTGATGGCGCCGGCGACGCACATGTCCTTGGCGCCGTCGGGGCCGTGGCAGTCCCCTGCTCACCAATCACCACCATTGCATTGCATTTCACATCACAACAGAGAGATACAGACATCGAACTGCACGGACGAACTAAAGAGCTTATTACTCGAGTAGTCGAAGCTGCAGGCCTTGTCAGGGGTGTCGATGAAGTGGAGCGGCCCTGTCCACCCGTACTTGTACCAGTGCCTGACCTGGTCCGGCCACACGCACAGCGCCGACAGGACGCCGCCCACGTCGTCCGGGAGCAGGTTCCTCACGGCGTTCGCGGCGTCAGGCTCCAGCAGATCCTTCATGCAAATTAAAGGCGCGCAACATCCTCTGTTCATCAGCCAAGCCATCCTCTGAACTCTGACGACCCTCTCTACGTCGTACACGAGATGAGAAATGGGCGTGAAACGATCCGATTTTTACCTGTGCGATTTGGCATGTGAGCATGTGACCCTCTTTGCTCCACGACTGCGCCGCCGGCAGCGCCGACGCCAGAACCACCAGCCCGAGCGCCGCGGCTCGCAGGAGCGAGACGGTGGCCATCGACGACGACAATGGCGTTGCTCGCAGTGCCTGATCGATGCCGGAGCGGAGCTTGGCAGAGACGAGCGAGCGACTGAATGCCGCGGCGTTTGGGGACGGTGATATAGCCGGTGGAATGGAACGGAACGGACGGTGAGGCGGCCTCTAGTCTTTTGCGTGCAAGCATCGTGTTTCTTCTTCAGGGCCGTTCCTCGCCATGCTTAACATTGCTTTGCTTAGCTCCAATGCTTCCCCACACTTGCTGACTGGCCGGCGGACGGCGGTGGCTGTGGCTCGTGTTTCGCCAATACTAGCGTGCTTCGGTTGCGTCTTCTTCTCAGTTTTCTCCACCAGCTGTGTCCAACGCTGCTTCCACTGCTTGGCCTTGGCATCCCCGGATAAGCAACAGGGACGGGACGCGATGACTGATGCTGCAAGCGTTGCCATTAGTAGATTTGTTTTGAAAGTTGCAAAGCCATTAGTGGCTGGCTTGCAAATGTGCACGCCCACGCAACAGATACTGGGCCGAGCCTAAGCAAGGTGATGATCAAATGGGCCTGTCCAGACTCCAGAGGGCACTATATTGGGCCCATTTCAAACGGCAACCGAGCGAAGCGATCGACGGGGATAACTCGCCCGAGCCAAATCCAGCGCGGCCAGCCGGCGGTTGGTTCGCTCGCTCTCTCGCTTGCTGCCCGCCGCGCGGCGATGACGGCCACCGCCAGCTGCTGCTCCAGCCCCATCGCGTGGGTGCGGCCTTGCGCCGCCCCCGCAAGCGCGAGCGCGCCCACGCGGGTGGGCCGGTGTCCCGCGGTCGCGGTCGCGGTGGCGGCGCCCGACGTGGCGTTCCACCCGGACGTGTCCAGCGCTGCGGAGTTTTTCTCCTCTCTGATGAATCAACTAATTGACCACTGTTCCACTGATGCCCAGTTTTTCTCCGGTACCCACGCCATTGCCTGTGCGCTGTTTGCGCTTCTGAGGCCTGGGCATGAGGTAGGGAACAGGATGAACTGAATGAACAGGTCTTGGCACTGCTTCTGATTGACATTTCAGACTGACGGATGTTGGATTCCTGCAGCTCCTGGCAGTCGCTGGGCCTCCGTACGACACCTTAGAGGAGGTGATTGGGATCAGGGGGTCGGCCAATGTAGGGCCACTCAAGGATTTCGGAGTGGCGTACCGAGAAGTTCCGGTGCGTCAATTTCTCCCTTCACAACCCAGTAGTGCCTAGTGTGTGTTGCCTTGTGCTGTGGTGGAGCTGTGGCCTGTGGAAGTGTGGATGATTACTGATGAGGTTTCAGTTATAGCTTGCAGCAGATGGTGGCCTTGATTGGGATGCTCTTGCTTGCTCCATCAGGCCGGAAACTGGATGTGCCTTCATACAGAGATCTTGTGGATATTCGTGGCGCAAGAGCTTAAGCGTAGCAGATATTCACAGAGCTATAGATTTGATCAAGGCAAGATTGTTGTGTTTTGTGACTAGCAACGTTCTCTATCTGTAGCAGCTTTTCTATGTGCTGATAAGGTTTTTTTTATTTTTTATTTTATCTCATTGCAGATGCAAAATCCAAACTGCATGGTGATGGTTGACAATTGCTATGGTGAATTTGTTGAGACATCAGAACCTGCAATGGTGATATGTCCATGATTAACCACACTTTTTTTTGAACAGAACTGGCAGGTGCGCTGCCTTTTCATTCAGCAGATAGCAAAGTCTGAATATTTACAAGGTAATGAAAAGAGCAAAGAATGAAAAAGCTGTAAAACTAGTGAAGAACTACTGAATGTCCTCGTGTGCTTGTCGTTGCATCTGTAGTTCTGTACATCATCGATGAAAAGAGCAAAGAATGAAAAAGCTGTAAAACTAGTGAAGAACCACACTCTTGAAGCGGTCTCTATTTCATTGTGTGTTTTCATGACAGGGAGCAGATTTGATTGCTGGCAGTTTGATAAAGAATCCAGGTGGAACTATTGCACCTTGTGGTGGTTATGTTGCTGGGAAGAAACATTTAGTGGAAGCAGCTGCAGCTCGTTTATCTGCACCTGGCCTTGGGGTGGAATTTGGGTCAACACCTGGCCATGTTATGCGGTCATTGTTTCAAGGCTTGTTTCTTGCTCCACAAACGGTTGGAGAAGCAGTAAAAGTAGGTTTGCTAATTGCAAATGGTTGGAGATACAATGCATGCAATTGATGATATAATATGATCCACAGGGAGGTTTGCTAATTGCAGAAGTCATGTCAGCCAAGGGGTACAGAGTTCAACCACTTCCGAGGGTTCCTCGCCATGACATTGTGCAGGTTAAATCTTGCCTTAGATAACTAGCTAGCACATGTATATAAAGACAAGCATGACATTGTAGGTCTGAAGTTTTTTCTTCCTTTTTTTGTTTTTAAAAAAGGACCAGGTAGTTGTAATGTGTAACACATAGACAATGCTGGGAAAACTGACCGTAAAATAAAGATAAATGGATGAGAACATGATAATACAGACTGAAGGAATATTCTATTTATGAATCCAATCTCAGACAGAAGGTCAACCCTCTTTAAAATATTTCATACTGCACATCTTAGCGATAGCGTGTGTTAAATTTTTTTAAGGCCAATGAACAGATGATGAGAACTTCAAAAAATAAAATTGCAGGCAGTGGAGCTTGGTAGCAGGGAAAGACTCATAGCATTCTGTGAAGTAGTGCAACAAACTTGTCCAGTAGGATCTTTCATCAAACCAACTGCTGGGGAAACCCCTGGCTATGCTTCAGAGGTATGTTTGTACCTTCCATCATGGCATCACTCTTACACTTCATGCTGTTGTTTTTGTTACAATGTATAAATCGTTTATTTCATGAACTTATTTTCTGATGAAATATACACGTGTTCTAAATATTACATGCTCCACTGTTAAACTGCATACTTTGCTTGTTTTTCTATCAAACTAAACTATTTAAGTGACTAACCCACTTAAATCAGGTCATTTTCGCCGACGGGACATTCATAGATGGAAGCACAAGTGAACTATCATGTGATGGGCCGTTGAGAGATCCACATGCCGTCTTCTGCCAGGTGAGCTGAGAGCCTGAGATCCTCATGTAATTTTCACTCATGGCCATTTTTGTCGAGTTTAACCTCTTATTTGCCCTGTTGCATGCAAGTGGTTCCAATACTTAATCTGGTGCTGAGAATCTTAGCCCTGAGACAGCAAATAAAATCTTTCCTCATACTCGCACTGCTCGTCACCATTGAAATGTACTGGCGCAGGGAGGAACACATTGGACACAGTGGGCGCTTGTCCTCAGTGATGTTCTGACAGTCATATAACATTGCGGTGTGATAATAGTCACATTTCTGGTATGGACGTGGTCTTTTCCTATCCTAAGTTCCTAGCTATACTTGTTTACCGGGAATGATTGATATTGCGCAACAGTTCAGTAGCAAATTTGCATTTTTCCCTTTTCATAGCATTGGCCATGAATTGCTTGAACATTTCCTTACAAAATTTCATAATTTTGCAGGTCTACGAGCGAATCCCTTGTCGCTCCTGAATCCCACATGCATCAGCTGAAAGGACAGAGGAATTAGCCTAGTTGTGGGTTACAGTTACAAGGCTAAATCTAATTGAAAATGGTATATGAGTTAGAGCATGGCATAAGGAGGAGAATGAGTCGTCAAAGGGAAAAGTTCAGCAAGGTTGCCTGATGAACATCTCCATGAAGCGTGACAGGAACAGAAGGGCTTCAGTCAAGTTGTTGCGTTGTAACCATACGGTAGTTAGAATGAGCAGGGACATAGGACATTTGGTTGAGAGCAGCACCTTTTGCATTTCCGATCGGTGATGTGTACTTGTAGTGCAGAAGCTGGTAAGTGATTAGTTGGCGATAGCACCGGACCAGTGGCGGATCTAGGATTTTGCGTTAGGGTATGCCAGCCAAAATTTGTCATATATAATTCAGTAAAACCATTTGATAATTCGGTAAGAATTATGAATTTGTAACATATAATCAATATACGTGAACTAAAAGTAAACGATAAGTCTTCAATTTGGAGGTTTAATTGAAACCATCCATAAAATATACAATATAAACAGCTAAAAAATATATTGTTATAAATATAGAGATAACTCAATGATATTAGATAGGATTAAAAAGAGAGAAAAGAGTAGAGATTGAACCTCATTTCGGTGGCCGGCAATCGGGCTGGGAGTCGTTAATCGTGGAAGCGCAGGCAGCACCAGAGCAGCCTAGGCGGAACGTGGATACGTTGATCTCGATGTTGGGTACTTGCAGCTTGGCCTGAATGTCTGTGCAGATTCATCAATTCGAGACCGAGGGCAAAGACTCCATTGCAGAGTCATTCTGAAGTCTGAATCTTCAATACCGATCAATGCCAGAACGAACGAGGCTACGATGGTTGGGCGGCAACTGGTAGGCATCTTTCCCATCGATGAAGGGACACCACCACGGCACCACGACCTCGATCACGAACGGCTAGAAGCCAAGACGGCTGGAAGACAAGACGTGAGAACCCTCCTGACCTCCCGTCATGTGGCCGCGTGCACGTGGGCCTGAAAGGCCGTCGAGGTCGCAAAGCAGCCGGTAGGCGCGTTGTTCGATTGACTTTGCTTACAAATATACGTATACATAAACTATACATACAGGTTGCGCAGGGTATGCCGAGCTCTGCCACTGCACCGGACATGTTTGTTTTGTTCTCTTCGAAAGCTTACACACTGCTAATTGCTTGCAGGCACGAACAACATAGCCAAAAAAAACCAGAACCAGAGATCCCATTATACACGACCGAGATATCCGCCGTAGCCAAATGCAATATAAAATCTGATGATGATCAAGCAATGGTTCAGATTCCACCGAGCACGAGGAACCAAGCCTAGCTAGAGCACGAACAACCCCATCATAGCATCTGTCTCCAGGACAATGTTTCCAATGCCCAGCTCCACAGCAACTCTGGCTTCGTGCACACATGCTGTTCAGTCTAAAAACCATGACCTCCGACTCCGAGCTTCCAAAGACTCTTCCGTCGTCACAGGCAGGCGTCACTATCCAAGATGGGAATGGGCCAGCCCGGACCTGGCCTTGGACCTGGCCCCATGGCCTCAAGGCCAATTTGCAAGGCCACGGGCCGACCCAAATTTTCCAAAGCCTTTGGCCTCGCTGGCCCAATGGGTACCCTGGGGCTGACCCAAAAAATATTATCACCTTGTTTGTAATCATACACTTAAACAGGTAATTGGACATACTTTGTTTGCATTTCTACAATATTTTTGGAGTACAGCAAAAACACATCACTTTTGTTTACCCATCAGTGTTACTGACTCACGTTTTAAGGTTCCATCAGCAAGACAGTAAACAGCCTGGGCTTCATATCACAGCAAACACCCGGAGCTGACTGATCATATCACGGCAATTGCAGAAATACCAGAGGCATAGAAAACTGTGACATTACTAAAATACCAGAGCCAGACAAACAGCCTAGGGTATGAACTATTAGCATATAGCAAGCCTGCAAAGATGAAACCGTGTTTGAATGACGACCGAAGAAGCAAATATGATAACATCATCTAAGAATCTAATCTAATGACTATAATAACTTAATGAACAGATGCAACACAGGCACCAAAGATGTCTCAACTCTTCGCAAGACTCCCTTTAGTCATCTGAGTCTTCATCTGCATCGTCTCCCTTCAGTGAGGTTATGAGTCTTCATCTGCATAAATAAACAGATAATTTCAGTAGAAGACAACAGCATGCAGCTACTTGAGAAGCGATATATCATGCTAAGTTTATCATTTGTTAAACCAGTGCCTATACTATGATCAATAGCTCATCCAAGAAAATAGAAAATTGTTTTCCTAAAGATTTAAAAGTTTAACATTATAGAAAACAGTAACTAAAGTGACTACAAGTGATACATCAACATATATATACTGGAATCTGATCCCAAACTACACTAACAAATTGTGTATAGGTAGCTAATGCTTTATTCCAACAGTAACCAAAGTAGCTATAATAATACAGCAACATATATAAATACTTGAATGTGAACCTGTTCTACTTTTCATATTATCAGCAGATATATAATGCCTTGTTCCAATAGCATCAGTTAAAATGTAACCAAAAGATGGTAAAAAAAAGTGAGAATATAAGCAGGCAAGAGTTGCATTAGGTAACTTTTGCACCTGAGTGCAAGTGTAATGTATAAGTAACATCGCTAAAAAGAGAGGTCATTTTGCAACTAGAAGAATGAAATATTGCAGGACCACGCAAAGAAATCCAGAGAACACATGGTAGTGGTAGGTTTCACTAATTTGAGCGCCGTATTGTGGCCGGAGGTTGATCATGAGTATTGGTGCATGAACATAGGATGGTGAGACAACAAACATGAAGCGCTGAAGGATCATTGCCAGTGCTATTTTCGCCTCGACCATGGAAAGATTCTTACCAACACAGACTGAAGGGCCCCATGCCAAAGGGTAAGTGAGATATATAAGGATGCATCTGTGCCAATGCTCCGAAACAGCAGTGAGTCGCCAAAGAGCCCCCAACCCGGATGAGTACTAGTCCTGCAACCGAATAGATGCAGTTAGAACTTATAGATAATAGAAACCACCATTGCAGAAAGCATATGCTTCCAAAACATTTACTTGAAGTGTTTTCCGCAGTTACAGCCAAGGCATAATTTGAAGGGTGGACAGTCCACAGTTCAGTTCAGCACAATGTCAATGGCTCAGGAATAGTTGACTCAGAAGGGAAAAGGTGAAAAAAACTAACATGTTTTTTTTATCCGAGAAGTGTCAACCTTATTGCAGTAAGCACTAATGTAGAAAACACACGAATACACATCATCAATTTCAGTTTGCTGTTACAAAAAGCTGAGAAAGTTGAAATGGTGTAGCTCCCAAACAAATTAACTTGTGTGACCAACCCTAGCTAGGTTGAACATGGAACGACACCTGAGTTTGCAATCCCAATAGAACAATAGGCAGAAACCTGATATAACCAAAACTCCAAAAGGTTTGTGCATCTGAGCTTAGGCTGATAAGCCAGTATTTTACAGCAAATGTACTCAAAGACCATCTTTTTGTACACTGACAATGTTGTTTGGGAAAAACTACTATGGTACAACCACTCAGCTCAGTTGCTCTAAGGAATCATAATATAATTAGTGACTTCAAACTGCAACCAAGCGAGCCCGTCACAATCACATGTACAAACACTAGAAACCACAAAGTTCCATAAAGCTATGCCAAGTGAACAGATAAAAGCATTAGTTAATTTTTAGAATATATTTGCTCAAGCACTGGAGGTAGGGAGTGAACAGATATAAGGTCCACTTCCACTATATCGAAACTGAAATCAATAAACAGTACACAGAATAAACACATGTCAACAATGTCACAGCATCACTGGGATACAAACCCTTCTAAATTCAAAACAATCGTCCAAAAGTTTGTCAATAAATTAGCGCTCGTCTTTTCTATTTCATTCATAATTTGTGGAATACAGTGGGATGCTGCATGAAAAATGGTTTTCAGAGTACAAGGCTCCTACATGGCAACAACTTTACAAAACAGCAAGCAGATCATAAGTGGCTTCCTGACTGCGTTATGAACAGACTGCAAGTCTTGGATCTAAGAAAATTGTCTAATAGCAAGAAAAATCATGCTACTATGAACAGACTGCAAGTTTCTAACTTAAGCAAATTGTCTAATAGCAAGTGCACTATCTGGAGACCATAAAGATCTAAGACTTGGATGACCCCACAATCATTGTTCACAAAAGTCAAGACTTAAGGGAAAAAAGGCATACCTCTCCATATCCTTGAATCCTCCTTGGTGACATAGATGGTGGGAAACCAAAATATGGATAGGCCAGGCCATTATGACTTGTCCCACGGACCCTCTCAATATTAAAAGACTTAACCTCAAGTGAGAAAACTGTTGAATAATATGGCCCCTCTCCATCTTGAACGCATTCTATTAAAATGTATCCTTCAGCTGGATAGCAACCAATGTAGCACATAATAGTATAATGGGCAGGCAAGGGGATGGTTCTCATCATATGCCACTCATGGGACTTCTCACTGCCATTTTGCGAAAAGGTGTAATAATCGACAGATGTGCCTTCATAACTCAGACTAAACATCGCAACCTTGCTTTCCCCTGACTCCACAATGACGATTTCCCGCTCATCGTGGCCAGGTGGGAGGTCAACAATGCAAAACTGCATAGTATTCATGTTGAGCTTGATCAGCATGCTCATGTGGTATAATTTCCAATAGAAGCAGTCATACATACATTGGCCTGAAACCAGCAGCTCAAGGCCCCGTTCGCGTGCCCTTAAACCCGGCTTGATCGCTTATTTTTTTCATCCGGAACAGTGTTTTTCTCTCGCAAATTCCTCCAGCATTCCTCCAAACCATCCACATTCCTCCAGAATTCAGACAAGCGAACAGGCCCCAAGTTCGTTCAAGCCCAGATCATTGCAATTTGTAGACACACTGACACTCCAGCAGCCAGAGACTGAAGAGAAGACAAATACCCCCAACGTTGTGTCGGATTGCATCCAGTGGATCACGCTGAATGATGTATCCTCCTCTATGCCTCCTGAAGGGATAAAAGAGACACCCGTATTGAAAATAATTTGGCTTTCGAGGTCGACGGAGGCGAGTAGGTCGTCGGTTATTCGAGGCAGCATCACGTATCGCCGGGACAACGGGTCGCACACCACGAAGTCACAGTACTCGAGGCCATTCTCCTCCCTAAGGTCATACTCAATGAGGACGCGGCCGTCGCGGATATCGCAGACTCCTGTAATGCCGTTCGGTGGTGGGGCAAGGGAGGTAGTCGAAGGAAAAATCAGCAGTCAGGGCGACAGCGCGGGCGATAGCAGCGGAGGGATGGGGCGCCTCGACAGGGTGGAAGCCAGGTTAAGCCCGGGAAGCTGACGAAGCCAAGGAGTAGGGGCGGGTGAATGGAGCGGTACCGGCGGAGGAAGGAGTGGTCAGCGATGAGGCGGCGGAAGGAGACGCACGCGGCGGAGGCGCGGGCGAGGTCCACAGAGGAGGCGACGCGGAGGAAGATCTCCTCGAGGAGCTCGCTGACGAGTGCCGGCGGCTGCCGCTCCGGCTCCATGGCATCGAGGCAGGGGAGGACCGGGTGAGCACGCGACGCCATGGCCGACGTGCCTCCCGCCGCCGGCAAAGTGAGGAAGGGAAGCGAGGATCGAGGGCTTCGAGCGGATTTGGGTACGGGCCGCAGTAGGGTAGGGAGTGGAAGATTTGGGGTACCGTACGGAAGTGCTTGGAAGGGTAGCCCATGTCAACGAGATGCATCAAGATTGGTGCTGCAGAGGAAGTGAATGGCTCAGATAGCCCGTGCGGCCACACATGGATGCGGGCGTGCCTTTCCCGGTTCGCCTTCGCCACACGCCACCCACTCCGCTCCCAGCGTCCCCCACCCTCGGGCCTCCAACGCCCTCCCTCCTCTGCCTGCCGGGCCCTCTCCCTCCCTCCGCCCTCCGCCCTCCCTCCGCCTCCCGGAGCTGCCTCGCCGGCCCCCTCCCTTGCTCCGCCTCGCCGGGCCCCTCCCTCCGCCGGATCCGCCCGGCGGCCAGCCCGCCGCCCCACGGCACCGGACTACCGTAGGTCCGTAGCCTCCTGCGAGGCCGCCACCACCATCCTACTCCAAGCTACGTGGTGGGCTCCGCCGTTTCCTTTACCCGCGTCAGGTACATGCACCCACGGTAACGGCGTCCTGGTCTTTTATATTTCTCATCAAACAAATTAAAAGAAAAGGTCCAACTATTGCCTGCTTGCCACAGCTTCGTCAAAGACACGCGGAAAGGAAGAAGAGAAAGGGGGAGGCGGCTCGACCTCGGTTCCGATCTCCGATCCTCCGATTTGCGCGTCCAGATCTACCAGGTTCGCCGATTCGTGCCCTGATCTTTTGTCTATGTCCTGTTTTCTCCCCATCTGTACCGCTGGGTGAGGTTACCTGTCTATTAGGATCTCGGTAGGGTCTTTCTAGGGGAACGGCGGCTGGGGATTTTGGTGACGCGTGATTCAACAGTGGGGAGAAGATATTATGGGGGAATTTTGGATTCATGGTGAATTCTAGCATTTTGATTTGGTCTTTCTGCGTTCAGCACGAGGCTTCTACGAATTTATTAGTCAAACAAAATTCTTCTCCATATGGAAATCCTTTTCTATGAAGCTTGTTATACTCAATAATGGCATTGATAGACAGAAATGCCTAGAAACTGCCTGTTGATAACTTGCTCGTAATAGCTCCCTGCCTTTTCAACCACAGTTCTGGTGATGCTTTACATGGATATGAAAGGGCTCTGCATGATACTAGTTTATTACAATGAAATTGTATGATAATGGTTTACAACGTTGTTGTTTATGCTGTTATGCTTATCTAAATTCTGCTCACATGACGTGTTCTGTCATTTTGAATTAAGCAGCAATGGCATCATCTTCGGACCCATGGATGAAGGAGTACAATGAAGCATCCAGACTTGCTGATGACATCAGTTCCATGATTGCCGATAGAGGGTCTCTTCCACAATCAGGCCCAGAGATTATGCGTCATACTTCAGCCATCCGGAGAAAAATAACTATTCTTGGGACTAGACTGGATAGCTTGGAGTCATTGCTTGGCAGAATTCCTCCAAAGTCAATGTATGTCCTGTTGCAACTACTTTTGTAATTCTGTGATACTGATGATGGGTGGAGTGCTTGCAATGACGCCATATTTGTTTTTCTCAAGTCTGATACTTAGGAATGAAACATATAGCTATTGAATCTTGGAGAACTTGTTTAAACCGATGATCTGTTCTGTCAATTCCATATTTGATGTGTCCTTATAATCAAAATTGAACAATATTGCATGCGGCCGTAAATGAAGGATTATGGTGTTAACAATGGCTGATACTAGATCTAGGGATGCAAAGTGGTATTCGAATGATTGAGCACTGAACTATGCCATGAATAAGTGAATCAATAAAGGTAAACACCTTAGGTGATGAAATGAAATGTTATGAAGCTGGCTATGTCAGGCACTGTACTAAAAATTGAGTTATTTGGCTTATGTGCTGTGCACAATTTTACATTGTTCCAGAATAGATCGTCCAATGGTTTGTTTTCTTGTAGACTCTAGACCCCAGGAGGCCTAACCCAAATATTGGTCATGGTCAAAGTTAGGATAATACCAAATTTGTGTTATAAATACAGCGTTCGGTTTGTAACAAAGCCAAAACTGGACTTGGTTGCAACCATGGCAAATTTTTTCTGGGGCCCACATGTCAGTGATTTTTAAAATTTCGAAATATATCCATCATGGGTCTTTGTGTAGATTAAATCACAAGTACGTTAATGGTATAAATGGATCACATACTGGGCACATAGTTTAGAAAATAGAAGTCCAAAAATTGTTACAAAATGTGCGGCACTTCTTGGACCACTCTGCAGCTGATGCATCAGCATTGCAGCCCAGCCAAATTGCATGGGCAGGGATAAAACTTGGATGCCTGCTGGGGCACTGATCCAAACAGCCCATAAGTTATTACATGAAAAGGGTGTAACTTATTGGTTATACTAGTAAATGGTTTCCTGCTTACAAATGAAAATATGATTCCTTTGTTCTGCTGATTACTAGGATGGTGTGGACAGCATTTCACTTGATACATGTTTTGTATGTATAATAAGTTGAGAGAAAATTCATTATGAGAAGGATTTGCGTGTCAATGAAAGATATTATTCCTTGACAAAGGACTTCATAGTTTGACACTTTGACGTCCAGACATTTACTCTGAATTTTTTTTTGGGTACTATCAAACATTTTTGCTTGAAATTGATTTCTTTGACTTGTGCAGCACTGACAAGGAGATGCATAAGCGCCATGACATGCTTTCCAGTTTGAAGTCTAAAGCGAAGCAGATGGCGACAAGTTTCAACATGTCAAACTTTGCTAACAGGTCTGTCGTGTTAGCAATGATCTCTATAGGAACCCGTCAGATTAGATTAGATTGTTTGGTTTGTTAGGAAAGGGATAAGTTAGATTGTTCGGTTAGGATATTCCTTAGGGGTCAAGTAAGTTGTCTCTATAAAAGGGACCGTCATGTATCAATTAGAGTCAAGCAAGAAGATCCTAAGATAGTTCCCGAGGAAGGGCGGCTATCCGGGGTCTATCTGCTAATCCATCTATCCCTAGCCATTTCGTAACAACTCGTCCTTCCTAGATCTTAATCTATTTTTTAAACACATTAATTTACTGTATTCAAGTTTTCAGGCAAGTATTATTTGTTAGAACTAATATGTGAATATGTACCCTTTTTTTCTTTTCCAATTTAGGGAGGATCTGCTTGGTCAGAGTAAAAAGGCAGATGACATGAGCAGAGTTGCTGGGTTAGATAACCAAGGAATTGTTGGCCTTCAGAGGCAAATTATGAAAGGTATTGGTTTATTGTGGTTTGTTCAGTAGTCTTTGCTCGATGGACCTTACTAAAAGGGTGCAATTAACTGTTTGCATGGGATCATGTAGCACTGTTTCTTCACACCATTTGCATTTCATATTTGGTTGGTACAGACCTAGGTTTCTTGGAAATGACAGTTGTGGGAGCAAGGACCATTTCATGGTGCTTTATTTATTTGAGTTGTGTATCAATATTTTGCAGAGCAAGATGAGGGTCTTGAGAAGCTGGAAGAGACAGTGCTGAGCACAAAGCATATTGCATTAGCAGTCAATGAAGAACTTACCCTGCACACAAGATTGATAGTTAGTGCCCCCTAACAAAAACCAGTAGTATTTGTGTCTTTTGCACTCGATGATAACTTCTTTATCCTTGTTTGCAGGATGACCTTGAAGATCATGTTGATATTACAAATTCACGTCTTCAGGTTAGCAATTAGTATCAGTATTTAAAACGCTGCGTCTTCAGGTTGCTGCTGCTGCAATTAGTATCAGTATTTAAAACCTCCTGCTATTGCTCCTGCTCCTGCTCCTGCTCCTGCTCCTGCTCCTCCTGCTCCTGCTCCTGCTGCTGCTACTGCTCCTGCTGCTGCTGCTGCTCCTGCTCCTGCTGACTGCTGCTGCTGCTGCTGCTGCTCTGCTGCTCCTCCTCCTGCTCCTCCTCCTGCTCCTGCTGCTCCTGCTACTCCTTCCATTTGAAATGCTAAGTTCTGGATACACTTTGTGACTATGTCTAGATACATAGCTCCCTGCTACTGCTGCTCCTCCTGCTCCTGCTGCTACTTAGAAAACCCAGACTACTACTACTACTACCACTACTACCACTACTACCACCACTACCACTACCACTACCACTACCACTACCACTGGCTGCTGGCTGCTGCTGCTGCTGCTGCTGCTGCTACGTAGAATTGCTTAACTGCTACTGCTACTCCTTCCATTTGAAATTGTAAGTTCTGGATACACTTTGTGACTATGTCTAGATACATACATGCTATTCAAACTTCTCAAGTTTGAGGAGTACTATGTAATTTTTTAACACATGCTATTCAAACTTCTCAAGTTTGCAATGGAACACTGATACAAAATTCTCTTTTGTTCAGCGTGTGCAAAAGAGGCTTGCAATTCTGAACAAGCGCACCAAAGGTGGCTGCTCATGCATGTGCCTGCTTCTATCTGTCGTCGGCATCGTGATTCTTGCAGTCATTGTTTGGCTTCTCGTCAAGTATCTGTAAAGAAAAGAAAGAAGCAGTCTGCTACCCTGCAGACCTCTCTCTCGAAATGCCCCGTACGTGTTACCTGCAGCCTTCGCTTGAAAAGTCCCTTCTGTGTTACTCCATTGAAATGTGCAGCCCTTTAAAAATAATATATATACGGTGGTTTCATCTTCCCTTTGTGAGTGAAATGTGCAGCCTGTAAAAGTAATATATATACAGTGGTTTCATCTTCCCTTTAGTGAGTGCAATGACTATGTACATCGAATTTGGCAGACGTGTGTATGGCGTTTGTCAGTTTGCAGTGACAAGTGTGGATTTATTCTTGTGCCATAAGCACTCTATCTCTCAGCCACCGTTCTTGACTTGTGCATCGAGTAAATTCAGCTAAAAGTTATCTCTTGTGTGTGTTTCCATGGAAATCAAAACAAAACTTGCGATTTCAGATAGACTGGGTGCAACTGCCATTTCCAGGACATGTTATAGGGCAATTTAATCTAAATGTCCTCTCAGATATGTACACTCGATTTTTTTAGCCTGTTCGCTGGTTGGTTTCTTGAGGTGATAAGCTCGGCTGGTGCTAGTTTGTTGTGAGAGGAAAACACTATTGGCTGCCTGATAAGTCCTGGCTGAAATCAACCAGCGAACAGGCTGTCTAAAAGCTGTAAAGTGTACATGTTACTGGCATTAGGAATAGTCACCATTTGCGTCCCGTCTATTACATTGTTAACTTTCTTTTCTTTGCGACTGCATCGTTCATCCTATTTTCAAGTTAGTTTTTACCCTCACTTTTAATTATCCTTGTGTTTCCAGGACTATTTTGTAGGTTTGTTCGAAGTTATTGGTTGAAGGTAAAAGTGTTGATCTGTGTCAAGCCATCGGCATCGACATCATGAAGATGGCGCCATCGCTCAATACGCGTTTGAGGGAAACGTAGTATCGTTTTGTTAGTTGTTTCAGTCTATGTCATGTGGGCCGTTCGGCCAGAGTCAATGCCATGTGGGCCATGTGGCCGGCAATGTCTGTAATAAGCAAACCCTCAGCACGCAGGGAGAACTATTCCTCATTTGACAATACAGAACCGAGAACAAGGGAAACCTTTCCTCGTCTTGTTATCGCCCTAGATCACCGCGTTCGATCTCCTCACATCCCGGTGATTCATCAGCGGCCATGGGGTGTGACAATTGGTATCAAAGGCATCCTTCCTCGGCAGCGCTTCCCCCGGTTCGTCTGCTTCGATCTTCTCGTAATTCCGGTCGGTTGGTTGATCTCCGTCGTGCCCGCAAGGTGTTCGACTGGAGGTCCCATAGGTCCTTCCTTAGGTTGATCTGGGTCAGCAGCGGATTCGGCATTGCCTACCTCCAAATCCACCACCATCCCCTCCACCAACCTCGATCCACTACCACTGCGACGCAGATCCACCACTTCTTCGGCACATCACTCGACTAGGGTTCGGCATCAACAAAAATTGGTTCGGCGGTGAACCAAGGTGAGCACGACATCATCCGTGCTCCTCTCTCTCGTTACGCACGCAATCGGGGTCAGCTAAGGTTGCGGGGCAAGTCCTCGTGTAAAATTTCGGCGCTACCAGTACCGATTGCGGGGCGGGTGGCGAACGGTGGGGAAGTGTCCACTCATCAGGGTTGTGGGGCGTTGTCCCCGTGTAAAATTCCACAGTGAGTGCCTCACTTCCAGGCGTGGTCGGCGACGTGGTGTAGCACGTTGTTGGGAGGTGTAAACCAAACCTAATTGTTGCACCAATTCCGGGTTGTTCATCATGGCTCCACCAAAGGAACCCAAGCCATCGAAGCAGACACAATTCGTCCTCGACGCCATGTCGAAGACTTCAGACGATGAGAAAGGCCGTTGGGAGCAGGTGATGGAGCACTTTGACTTACTCTTTCATCAGATGAACGACATCAGGGTCATTCAGCAGGAGATGAAGAAGGATCTCGCTGCAACAAAGGACGACCATAAGAGAATTTCTCAGCAGGTTCAAGCCAATGGGCAGGCAGTAGCAAACCTGACACTGTGTTAGATGGAGACTAAAGCTTTCTCTAACCAATCTGATGGCAACTCTATTGTCTTTGATGATGAAGATCCTGAATTTTAGAATGTTTTTGCAGCCAAGAAGCGTGATACCAAGCCTGGCACTTCTAAACAACCAAAAGTACACCGAGAGAAACCAAAGAAAGATTCCTTGCCTCACCATACACCGCCAAAGATACACTTCCCCAAGTTTGATGGCTCCAATCCAAAGATTTGGTTTGATAATTGTGTCAATTACTTCACAATCTACTCTGTCTCTGAGGATCTGAAGGTCACAGCTGCAACTATGCACCTTGAGGGCAATGCATCCAAGTGGTGGCAGGCCTACAAGCAAAGTCATGCAGTACCTAACTGGAAACAGTTATGTGAAGTGATACAGGAGCAATTTGGAGCAGATGATTATAGAAAGGCTATCAATGAGTTGCTCTCCCTCAGGCAAACAGGCACTGTAGAAGACTATACAGCAGCTTTCCAAGCATTGCAATATGATATCACAATGCACAACAGTCATTATGATGAGATATTTTTTGCATCAACATATGTGGCTGGTCTGAAAGATGACATCAAAGCAGTGGTGGAACCACATGTTCCAGTTACAGTGAACAGAGCAGTTGTGATTACTATGGAAAGAAACAAGCACAAGTATGCTAGAAATTTTGTAGCCAACAGAGCCCCTCCACAGAAACCAGATCAACCACAACAACAAACACCACTCAATTTACAGAGAATCAGGCAACTCAGAGATTATAGGAAGGCCAACAACCTCTGCTATGGTTGTGGAGAAAAGTTTGAACCTGGTCATCAAGCTGTCTGCCCCAAAAGACAGCAACCACAGGTGAACACTCTTGCTGTCAATGACTTAGACAAGGAGGAGATTACTGAGGAGATGCTCAATCAGTTGGCAGCTGAGGACTTATTGACAACAGACTTCTGTCAGCTTTCTATTAATGCTCTCACAACAATGGATTCCACAAATTCCATCAAACTCAGATCACTGGTGAAGAACAAAGTAATGCTTATTCTATTGGACTCTAGGAGTTCCCATAGTTTTGTCAGCAAACAGTTCACAGAGATTGCTAACTTGCCTACAACCCCAATGACACCAAAAAGGGTCAAGTTAGCCAATGGAGACTGGTTGACCACTTCAACTATGGTCAAAGACCTACAATGGTATATCCAAGATGAAACTATAGCAAGTGACATGATAGTGCTAGACGTGGCACCTTATGATGCAATCCTGGGGTATGATTGGCTCAAGACCCACAGTCCCATGAACTGTGATTGGAATAAGAAGACTTTGGAGTTCAGTTTGCATGGGAGACTAGTAAAACTACAAGGAGTAGTGGACTCTCCATTACAGGTGTCACCAATCACTGCTACTCAACTGTACAAGGGCACTAAGGGAAATGATACATGGGCTTTTGTCATCATTGACTCTCTGCCACCACCAAAGCTGGACTAGGTCACCCCAACACCACTATGCATTCAAACCATCCTGGATAATCATAAGGAAATTTTTCAGGACCCACAGACTATACCACCACAGAGATGTTAGGATCATGCTATCCCTCTTGTCCCTAGAGCTGTACCTATTAATGCTCAACCATATCATTATTCACCTCAGCACAAGACAGAAATAGAACAACAAGTGAAGCAGTTACTGGAAGCTGGGTTGATTACTCACAGCCATAGTCCCTCTGCTTCCCCTGTGCTTTTGGTGAAGAAAAAGGATGGCAGCTGGAGATTCTGTATATTTTTTTGAAACGCAATGGCAGGAGCTCTGCCTTTCCATTAAGATAGGAAAGAGAGTTTCTATACAAGAGCTGTAGAGATCCCCGAGCAGGACAAGGGGGTAAAGTGGTGAAAAAATTGTACAGTCATATAGGACGATTACTCTCCCCAAGAATGAGCCATCTTCTTCTGAAGGATGTCCTCTTTCGTTCTTGAGGCCACCTGCATTGCCATTTCGTGGGTGTTTGTGAATATTCTTCTATTTCTCTCTTTCCAAATGTTCCAGACGGTGTAGATTACCAAGCCATTGAAGCGCTTTCTGTCGTCCTTGGTTATCTTGGATTGGACCTCTTCCCACCACGAGATCAAATGGGTTGGATCTTCGGCCAGGAGGATTATGCTCGCATCGAAGTGTTCCCAATGTAGAATGAGATTCCATACTGCTCTGGTGAACGGACAAAGCAAGGCTAAGTGGAGGCACGTTTCCAATGGGCCGTTGCATAGGGCGCATCGGTCTTGGTGTGGCCAACCTCTCTTTTGTAGATTATTCGCAGTGACGATTTTCTCTCGCGCCATGGTCCAGATGAATACTTTGCACTTGTTTTCAGTGAATGCTTTCCATATGAGATCACTCCAAAATGCTCTGTAGGAACCACAGAATTGTATTCTATAGGCCGATCGGGTGGAATAGGCTCCGTTGGCTGT